GTTGATTTTAGTCATAAATTAGAGGAACAAATGAAGGCTAAACTAATTGAAATGAAGGGAAATGCACAGGAAACCAATAGTGATGGAAAGGAATCTGGAACTCAAATCAAGGGAGTGGACCAGAAGGAAGAAAAAAATGACCAAACAGAAAAGAATAAAGAAGCAAGAATTCAAAAAAATGAGGAGAGGCTTAGGAACCTTCAGGACATCTTTAAACATTCCAAAACCCAAATTATAGGGGTAACAGAAGGGGAAGAGAAACAGCAACAAGTGGAAAACTTATTTGAACAAATAATAAAGGAGAATTTCCCCAATCTGGCAAAGGAAATAGACTTCCAGGAAGCTCAGAGAGTCCCAAAGAAGTTGGACCCAAGAAGGAACACACCAAGGCACATCATAATTATATTAGCCAAGATTAAACTGAAGGAGAGAATCCTAGAAGCAGCCAGAGATAATGTGACAGATACCTACAAAGGAGTTCCCATCAGACTGTCAGCTGATTTCTCAAAAGAGACCTTGCAGGCCAGAAGGGGCTGGAAAGAAGTATTCCAGGTCATGAAATCCAAAGACCTACATCCAAGATTGCTCTATCCAGCAAAGCTTTCATTTAGAATGGAAGAATAAATAAAGTGCTTCTCAGATAAGATCAAATTCAAAGAGTTCATCATCACCAAGCCCTTATTATATGAAATGTTAAAGGGACTTATCTAAGAAAAAGAAGATAAACCATATGAAAGGTGAAAGGACAGCAAACTCACAGTTATTGATAACCACACCTAAAACAAAAGCAAACTAAGAGGACAGCTAGATCAGGAGCAAACCATAGAAATGAAGATTACATGGAGGGTTAGCAACAGGGGAGTGGGAGAAGGAAAAGGGGGGAGAAGGTACAGAAAATAAGAAGCATAGACGGTAGGTAGAAAATAGGGGGAGGGCAAGAATAGTAGGGGAAATATAGAATCTAAAGAACTTGAGACACGTAGTCATAAACTAAAGAGGGGGGAATGGTGGGGGAGGGATGTGCAGGGTGTAGGGGAATGAGGGGGGAATAGAACAACTGTAATGGCATAATCAATAAAATATATTTAAAAAATAAGTTTATCCTGTGTGTTGGATACTGCAGACAGCCAATAAGTAAAGAACTGAATGGAGATTCTGTAAATACACATACAGTATCACATATGATATTTGACAAAAGTTCCAATGTGATTTCATAGGGAAAGAAATGTCTTCAATAAATAATCCTACAGCAACTGAGTATCAAGATGGAGATAAAAAGGACAAACCTTGACCACTGTCTTACACATAAAACTTAACTGCAATAGACAGTAGATCTTAATGTGGAAGCTAAAATGCTAAAAAGCTTCTAGAAGAAAATATAGGATAATTCTTCATGACATTGAGGGGGCAAAGATTTCTTAGGTTACAAAATCATCAAACATAAAAATATATAAATTTTACTTTATCAAAATTGAAAACTGTTTATTAAAGACACCCTCAAGATAGTGAGAAACCCAGCCACAGGCTTGGAGAAAATGCTCACAACACATGTATCTAGCAAAATACTTTTTTTAATTTTTATTTTATTTTTTAAATTATTTTATTGTTGTTCAATTACAGTTGTCTGTATTTATCCCTCACAACTCCCTCCCACCCCAGCCAAACCCACCTCCCTCCCTTGCTTCTACCCTGCCCCCTTGGTTTTGTTCATGTGTCCTTTATAGTTGTTCCTGAAAACCCTTCCCTCCATTATCACCTCCCACCTCCTCTCTGGTTACTGTCTGATTGTTCTTGATTTCAGTGTCTCTGGTTATATTTTGCTTGGCAAAGTACTTGTATCCAGGAGAGAGAAACTTCTACAAATCAGTGTGCTGTAGACATACACCCCAATTTTTCTATTTTTTCTATTTATTGATTTTAGAGAGCAAGGAGGAGAGAAAAGTCAATTCGTTGTTCTACTTAGTTATGCTTCATTGGTTGCTTCTTGTATGTGTTCTAACAAGATTGAACCCACAACTTAGTGTTTCGAGATGACACCCCAAAACTGACTTACCCTTCCAGGGCTCAATTTTTCAAAAAATAAAACAAAACAAAAATAGAAGAAGAAGGGGAAGAAGAAGAAAGAGGAGGTGGGAGGAAGGTAGGGATAGAGGAAAAAAGAAATTAAGGTATAAAATAGGCTTAAAATGAATGGACACTTCACAAAAGAAGCCATGCGAATGGTCAGTAAGTCCTTGAAAAGATAACCAACTCTGTAGTTATCAGAGAAATGCAAATTTAAATGCTAATGAGATCCCACAACACACCCACTAGAATGACTGACTAAAATCAAGAAGACTGACAATACCAAGCGTTAGTGTAAATGAGGAGCAACCGGAACTCTCAGACATTACTGGTGCACTTTGTAAAACAGTTGGCAGTTACTAATACAGTATAGTACGGCTACCCTCTGATCCAGCAGTTACACTCCTAGGTGTATACCCCAAGAGAATGAACTTATTTCCACCAAACAGTTGGATAGGACTTACTAGTGGGGATGTTAATTTTGGCCCCAGGTAAAGGCAGTGTCTCTGTCCACCTCCTCCACTTATAAAGTTACTAGTTTTCCTTTGTAATTAAAAAAATATTTTGAGGAGATACTTTGAACTGTGCAAATACCCTGATTCCACTCAAATTTTTTTCCATTAATTTAAGTGTTCATCAGTGGATCATACCTGCAACAATTACTACTATGGGGTACTAATGGTGATTTTTGTTTCCCTTATTCCTTTTCCATTTATTAAGTAGATTTTTCTTCTGTAAGGGATACCTGCCCTCCATATTATTTATTTGTTTAATTATTTATTTGTATCAGTATGGGCTTGGGAATGTTTAGTTTATTCCAAAATCTATTATTGCTTATATAATCTATCTTATTCTGTTGCTCAAATAGTTCCAGGATCCTTCTTTACCAGGGTCTTTTCTCTGCCTCTTATAATTATTGTCAGTTATTATTTCTTGATTGTTTAGTTGCTAGCTGCAAATGCCTACATCTAATTTGGGGAGATGTAGCAAGGCTTAAAAAGATGCCATATAGTTTGTGTTCCATAAAAATTCAATGGAACCAAGAACTGTAAGTGCACCTAAGAGATGAACCTTACTTGGGGTGCTGGGTCTCCCTGTTCCCCTCCACACCTCTCCAGCCCTTCTCTCCACCCTCCTCTCTGCCCCAGGAGCCTTCCTGCCTCTGCCTTCTGGGTGATGTGGCTTGTAGGGGATACAAGCATAAAATTAAGGAGGCCTGATAGTGACATGAGGTATTTATTCCCTTGGCTCCTTCTTACAAAGTTCCTTTAGCCTCTACAGTATATGCTTATGCATAGTAAAAGACTACAACTTCCCTCCACTGTTCAATCTGGGGGGTAAATCACATCAATGGTTATTTTTTTCGGCTCCAAACAGCATCTTCTCTACCTGCATTTAAGCTCACTTTCTCTTTCTTGGTACTGTAGTAAACACACACACACACACACACACACACACACACACACACACACACCTGCTCAAAATCCTTCTCATTGGGAACTCTTTATACAATTGAGAAGAGTTGTCACCCCTTAAACTTCTGTATTATTTTTTTACCCTGGCTTCCTAGACTGACTTTCTTCCCTCTAACCCTCTTCCTTGTGCACCATTGGGCCCCTCCAGCTTCTCCACATTATGAGGTTAAAGAGTGACTAAAAAATGTAAGGAGGAGGTACACCCATGTTCATAGCAGCACCACTCACAGTAGTCAAAGATGGAAGCAACTCAGTGTCCATCTATGTACAACTGGATAAACAAAAGGTGGTATACATTATTCAGCCTTTAAAAGGAAGGAAACTCTGGCATGTTATAACATGATGAACCTTGAGGACTTTATGCTAAATGAAAATAAGCCTGTCACAGAAGGACAATTACTGTGTGATTCCACTTAAAGAGGCCCCTAGAGCAGTCAAATTCATAGACAGAAAGTACAATGATGGTTGCCAGGGGCTGGTGGTGGGGAAATGGAGAGCTAGCCTCTAATGAGCAGAGCTTCATTTTTCTGAGGGAGAGTTCTGGAGATGGGTGGTGGTGATGTTTGTACAACAGTATGAATGTACTTAATGCCAGGGAACAGTAGATTTTAAAAATCTACTTTATAATGATCAACTTTATATTATGTGTACTTTGCCACAATTTTTATGTAAAAAGCCAAAACAAAAAACATAGTAAAGGAATGGGCTACAGTAGGTGTGTCAAAACAGTACATAGATGGAGCTTCTGCTGCATGTGCTACTGGGAAACTTGGCTTAGGTGCCTTTTCTCCACACAGATCAGTTGAGCACCATGCCCTGTGAAAGTAAAGTTGCAAGTGGTAGGATAGCCTCTGGTGATTCTGGGCTGCAAGAAAATTCCTTGATTGTTGCTTAATTTTCATACCTATGTGCCTTAACTATCTAGGGAACTGTGAGTGCCTTAAAAGAACGACTGTGGACTATACTCTTCTGGGGCTCCCATTCCTCCAGGCTGCACTGTAAGACAATTTTGTGTATTTAAAAGAAGAGATAAATCAGTGCTCACCTTTAGAATTTCATGGGAAATCTGCAGATTTAAGGCTGAGATAACAAATACTTCATTCAGCTGGGTCAAGATAGCAACTCTCAAAGTGTGGTCTGGGGTGCCCTGGGAGGCCTGCAATGTCAAAACAGTTTTCCCAATATTAACACATTACCTGCCTGACATCTGATGAATTCATCACTCTAGTAGCTAATGGAATAAGTGCTGTATACTTAAGATCTCTCAGTTTTTATCCACGTAAACAAAAGCTCTTTCAATTCCTCAATAATTGGTGAGTATGCAAAGGGTTGCTTGGACCAAAAGGTTTGAGAACCTCTGGACTAAGGCACGTGGCTTAGATAAGACTAAAATGAGATCAACCAGGAAGACCTGTAAGAAAGAGCTAGAAGCAGATAGTAATCATTTGTTCTCTTTTGCAGGAAAAACTGCATGGAAAATCTAATGGATAAAGATGAGAAAGACAGGGCAAAGAGGTAAGAGGAACCATTGTCATGCCTCAGTAGTGTCTGGGTGGCTGGCCAGTCTGAATCTGGCTTGTCTGCACTTGGTATAGATGGAAGTACCAGAAAGAAGAGCAGCAGGGACTGGCCTTTCTCCTTGCCACCCATTCTCCTTGAAACACTGCAGTGCTCTGTTAAAAAATTCAGACAAGCTACCTCATTTTTGCTCCTTACCCTGAAATTACTTCTTGTCTGGGACTTGCCAAATTATTTTTAATGTGTTCTTATATGAATACATTACATATAATGTGGTCTTGTTGAGTTGGGTCTACTTTCAAAGGCCTCTGGTTGCTGCCAGACACTGCCTGCCATGGCAGCCAGACTGGAGCCAGGCAAGCCTGGGTTCAAATCATGACCCTGGTGTAGGGAAGCAGTCTGGCTTTGAGCAATAACAATAATAATCATTTCCACACACTGAACATTCAGTAATCACCATCTCTGTGTTAAACATGTTCAGATGCATTATGTCAATTTCCTCATCTGTAAATGGGGATATATCAACCTTGTGCTGTTGTTGGGTAAACTGGAAATACTAGCTTGGTAGCTGGTATATCAGAGCTGTTCTAATCCTGACCATGCTTAATCACTTCACTGGACATTTTTTAAATATATTTTATTGATTATGCCGTTACAGTTGTCCAATTTCCCCCTCTTCATTCCCTTCCACCCTGCACACCCCCTCACCCCCATTCTCCCCCTTTAGTTCTTGTCCATGTGTCACAAGTTCTTTAGCTTCTACATTTCCCATATTATTCTTGCCCTCCCCCTGTCTATTTTCTACCTACCATCTATGCTATTTATTCTCTGTACCTTCTCCCCCTTCTCCTCCTCCCAATCCCCTGTTGTTAACCCTCCATGTGATCTCCATTTCTGTGGCTCCGCTCCTGATCTAGCTGTCCTCTTAGTTTGCTTTTGTTTTAGGTGTGGTTGTTAATAACTGTGAGTTTTGCTGTCCTTTCACTGTTCATATTGTTTATCTTCTTTTTCTTAGATAAGTCCCTTTAACATTTCATATAATAAGGGCTTGGTGATGATGAACTCCTTTAACTTGACCTTATCCGAGAAGTGCTTTATCTGCCCTTCTATTCTAAATGAAAGCTTTGCTGGATAGAACAATCTTGGATATAGATCTTTGGATTTCATGAGTTAAAATACTTCTTTCCAGCCCCTTCTTGCCTGCAAGGTCTCTTTTGAGAAATCAGCTGATAGTCTGATGGGCACTCCTTTGTAGGTGACTGTCCCTCATCTCTTGTTGCTTCTAGGATTCTTTCCTTCATTTCAATCTTAGCTAATGTAATTATGATGTGCCTTGCTGTGTTCCTTCTTGGGTCCAACTTCTTTGGGACTCTCTGAGCTTCCTGGACTTCCTGGAAGTCTATTTCCTTTGCCATATTGGGGAAATTCTCCTTTATTATTTGTTCAAATAAGTTTTCCACTTGTTGCTATTCCTCTCCCCCTTCTGGTACCCCTATAATTTGGGTTTTGAAATGTTTAAAGATGTCCTGGAGGTTCCTAAGCCTCTCCTCATTTTTTTGAATTCTTGCTTCTTCATTCTTTTCTGTTTGGTCATTTCTTTCTTTCTTCTGATCCACTCCATTGATTTTAGTCCCAGATTTGTTTCTATCACTATTGGTTTCCTGTGCATTTTGCTTCATTTCACTTAGTATAGCCTTCATTTTTTCATCTGATTTGCTACTAAAATCAACTGATTCAGTGAGTGTCCTGATCACCAGTGTTTCAAACTGTGCATCTGATAGGTTGGCTATCTCTTGGTTGCCTAGAAGTATTGGCTCTGAGGCTCTGGGGCTCTGAGCTGTTCTTCTGCTTGAGCCATGTTTTGGTCTGTTCACACCTGTTACGTATGAGGGGCAAAAGCTTAGGTGTTCACTGGGGTGGGTCAGCTCAGTCGCTGGGTTGTTCCTGGGGGCGGGGTCAGAGAGGTAGCTATGGTGTTTGTTCTGCTCTCTCTCGGATTTTGGTTCTGTCTGCTGCTTCTCACAAGCAAATTGGGCCCTTCTGGTGCTGGTTCCCAGGTTGGTGTGCTTGTGTACATTCTAGGACCCTGTGGGTCTTCCCAACAAAATCTCCTGTGGGGCTAGGAGCCTCTCCTGGAAACTCATCCCCTGAAAGTTTTTCCAATTGGTGCTTTTAGGCTTTTTTTTTTCCCCATCCCTGGGGTCCTGGATTGCACGATTTGTCTCACTGACCATTTTAAAACCTGCCTGGTTTTTCTGCATACAAATGTGTGTCCACAGTCAGCCAGCGAGCCACCTTGCAAGCCTTACTGGATTTCCATGTGCACCCACCTGGGTCTCCAATCACCTTCTCCTTTTTGGGGGATCCCTCTCTGCCATTGACTCTGCCCCTCTTACCGGTCTGGGTGAATGGTTCGTTGTTGTCAGACTTTGGTACAGTTTACTTTTCTGTATGTTTGGTTGCTTTTTTGTTTCTAAATCTTTGTTGTCTTTAAATTTGGTTGTGCAAGGAGGCACAGTGTTTCCACCTACACCTCCATCTTGGCCAGAAGTACTTCACTGGACATTTATTGAGTACCTACTGTATATGAGGGGGAGTCACAAAGTTGATATTTTGAATGTGAAGTTTCCAGGCAACATCCAGTTTAATGTCACCAATTTCACATGATTCACCTGAGTTGGCAATTACTATGCTAGGCTCTGAGGAATAAAGATGAGTCAGAGGCCTCCTGCCCATGAAGAGGGCACAGGTGAATGGAGGCAATTGGTAGGTGATACAAATCATTTGGCTGGAGGCTGACAGACTCAGAATAGAGTGTTGTGGCAGACCCAGAGGACTAGCCTTGTTCCTTCAATCTCATTTCTTTCTGCTCCTGCCACTGTATATGTGGAGGGCCTTCCATCCTGTGGCAGACTCTTATATACCTGCATACATTAAGGGTTTGCCCCTTCCCTTCACATAACTCACAACCTGGGTGTCACTTACAGAATCCTACACTTGCAGATGGGGAAGCTCTCAGGAGTCACCCAGTTCTTTGGCTCCAGGGATGTTTGTTCTTCCATATTACCTGGGATATGGGGATGAGAACAAACATCCTAGCCATTTCAGACTTGCTAGACTTGAGTCTGGGGAGTCTGTATTGGTTATTAATTTCCTAAATATTTTCTTTAAACAAAATCATGGAGCAGGGAAAATGGCCAGGGGTGTTAGATGAAATGGGGTTGTAGAAGCTGGGAGGTCAGCACTAATGGGTCATCATACTCCTACTTCTCCTCCATTTCTTGAAATTTTCCTGTAATAAAAATTTAAACAAACAACTAATCAAATGAATGTTCCCAGCTGGTTCTGAAGTAACAAGCCTTTGAATTGGCCTTGGGGAGCATGATTCTTGTACAGTGCTTTTGAAACCTCAGACCACAACCTAGGAGGGTTGCAAAATTTACATGGTTCCAAGGAATACACAAATGAACAGACTAGACCAGACCAGACAAGAACAGAACCCTCCCAATCTCTCTCATGGGCAGGTGACACCCATTTCTTTCCCCTGGGGTTCTTCACCTCTTAGTTCTTCCCAGAGTGCTGTAACCATAGGGCTAGAAGTAGGGACCTGAGCCATACTCCCCACCAGCCCTGTCCTAGCTGATAAATTCTAGCAAACCCCTTCTAGAGAAGAAGCCTCTACTTTCTTAATTGAAGCACCAGGGTAATCATTTCTGTCCTGCCTTCCTCTTGTATTATTTTGGGAATCAACCACAAAATATACCAAGAAGCTCTCTTTTGAAAGTATTAATTGCTCCATATGTGTGAAAATGAAGGATATTTTACAAGAACACACTTACAAGGTATTCTCATTAGCAATAATGGAAAGATCAGCATTGGTGGTCTGCATTCATTGAGTGCTTCCTGGGTACCTAACTGATTAGGGCATATAGTAATGGGCTAAGTACTTTTATTTTCATGATGTCATAATCTCTTCAACATTTTTAAAAGTGTGTATCATTACTGTCCCCATTTTATAAATGAGGAAACTAAGCCTCAACAAGCTTGAGTAAATCGTCAAACATCCTGAAACTCTACGTGGCACAAGGAAAAGTTACACACAGGCTTCCTAAACCTTAGACTCTATTCTTCTTCCCCAGACCACAAACAAATCTCCTCACTTCAGAATTGGTTCAGTCTATCTGACAGGCCCAGACTAAATGTGTGGCCTGAGGTGACTTTGGAGTCCACAGGAGTTTTGCTTTTGACATCATCTTTATTTTTTAAGTATAGTTTATTGATTATGCTGCTACACTTGTTCCTTTTTTTTCCTTTTTGTCCCACTCAGCCAGGTATGCCCCTTCCCTCCACCAATACCCCCCATCTTAGTTCATGTCCATGGGTCATGCCTATAAGTTCTTTGGCTACTCCATTTCCTGTACCATTTTTTAATATCCCTTTGTCTATTATGAACCTACCAGTTATGCTTCTTAATCCTTGTACATTTTTCCTCCATTCTCCCCCTTCCCCCTCCCCAGTGATAACCTTCCATGTGACCTCTATTTCTATGATTCCATTCCTAGTTTAGGTGTTTGCTTAGTTTTTGTTTTTAGATTCAGTTGTTGAATTTTGAGTTTGTTGTCATTTTACTGTTCATAGTTTTTATCTTTTTCTTAAATAAGTCTCTTTAACATTTCATATAATAAAGGCTGTTGGGGAGCTTTGTCCAGCAGAGAATCCCTGGCCATCGTGGATGAGAATAAGCCTACCAAGACATGATCTGATTGGGGAAGAAAGGTGGCCAGTCTCTCAAAGGAGGAAGACCTTGAGACTGTTCCTCAATGGGTTTTTATTGGGTTCAATTTGGACAGGAATACACATAAGCTCATCAATCATTGTCAGGCAGTAATGATCAAACAATAGATAACATTCAAAGAAATATGAGGGCTTATTCTGAGTCAGGGTCAGATAGATAAAAGGCCATAAAGTTTGGGAAACAAGCTCATTTTATGCTTGGA